GGCAGTGAAAGATGAACAAGGACAACCAACCCGCCAAGCCAAAATTACACCTTCTGTATTTCGAGAAAAAATCATAAAGGTTTTCGTACCTGGAATTTGATTTTTCAGGCAATGATTGTGCTGTAGCAGCAGCTGTTGCATTGGAACTTTCGTGAGGGACATCTTCAAACTCACATTCGCTGCTGCTTTCCATAGTTTATCGCTATAATTGCGAACAAAAAGCATGCAAACTTTCAAAAATGAAAATGCCAACTGATTTCACGTCAAATAGCTGTCGTTATTCCGCTACCGCAGTAATGATCAAATGCATTTATCAAAACCATACATAAAAATTTTTTCATGTTTAGGTACTTCCCCGGGAAGAGGGTACTTCCCGCACAGTTGTCAAAAAATGATATTTCATTTTTCTTGTGAAAAAAGTATAATGACACTCGATTCGTTTTGATGAACTGATAACGATATAGCTAATTGCTTCAATTCATTTCCCTAGTGACATGTAACTTGTTGAGAATATACACGACAATAATTGATTCACAGCGCATTTCAACTCAACAACTCAAAAAATTGAAATTTGGGTTGAAGGAATTAATGCATGAATACTTTATTTTGAAGTGAAATTGACAGATGAAACTTTCCAGATGGGGACTGGGCGCCATGAATTATTCGTCGGGAGCTTCAAGTGACGAATAATTCACAACCCTAATATGAAGTCAATATCTTCGCCTACTACAAAATGACGAAACATTCAATAATTTCTTGAAGACAAACATATTAATATCGATATTTCTAGAAATATTTTTTTTATCTGTCATATGGCCATTCCAAATACCCGATAAGGTTTGTTAAGTTATTTTTCGTTTATAAAAACGACAAAATTGTCAGTACGACAATGAACATCATTGTTCAGTTGAAATATTTTCGGTTTCACTACCACGTCAACATTTTCTAAAATTGTCAAATATCGTTGAATGGATAAAAAATTGAAGCGATTTTTATTTACGGTGCGATACGTAACTTTCACTAGACCAGAAGGATTTTCAATAAACGTTTTCCGAATCGTCCTATCTGTAGAAAATATTTGAGGGAACTTGTATCCAAACTTACAACTACCGGTAGTGTACATAACAAAAACTCCCCAGATCATCCGTAAATAATTGGTGAGATGGTAGTAATTCTTGAACAGTTTACTTATTCCGTGACGAATGTTTGTGAGGTGTCTCCTTCTACTGTGTGGAAACTTTTGAAGAGGAATAGGTATCATCCATACAAAATTAAAATGGTTCACCAATCAACTGAAGATGACCCTGATCGAAGAACAGAATTCTCAGAAATCATGACGGAAACCATTGCAAGGCATCCTACCTATTTACACAATATTTGTTTTAGTAACGGATGTACATTTTTTCAAACGGCAATGTTCACAGACAAAATTGCCGTTATTGAAGTGACACCAACCCTCACGTTTTCCGGGAAACTCATACCCAATATCCAGAAAAAATTAACGTTCGGGCAGGAATATTGAGAAACTATTTGTAGGATTTCTATTTATTGATCAAAATTCAACAGGGGAACTGTATTTGAATATGCTGGAAACTACTGTTGACCCTTTCATCACTGAAATTGTCGAAGCGAATCCTGATGGATTCGATATGGATATTGTATTCCAACAAGATGGAGCACCACCACATTACTCCAGACAAGTAAGAAACCATTTGGATACTACTTCTCCCGGTCGTTGGATTGGCCGTCGAGGTCCCACAGAATGACCATCCCGTTCGCCAGATTTGACACCTTTAGACTTGAGCCATTTGAAGCAAAAGGTATACGAAAGTGAATCTGCTTCAGAGAATAATAAATATTTGTATTTGTTCGAGAATGTTTGACGTGAAATATCGAATAGGCTGTTCACATGTCAAGAAGTTCAAGGCAACTATTTCGAGCATCTTCTGAACTGACTTCAAGCTCATTACCTCATATTATGAAGTTAAATGTCAATGTATTCAGTCAAAAAATAAAACTTTCACCATTTTGTAGTCGCCCAATATGCTCTAGACAAGGACCACAGAATTGGTGAAAACAATCTGAAACTGGTTGAGCATGTGCATGACACCAGGCTACTCGATGCATGTGAGAGTCTAGAAATAGCAAAATATAAGAACAGCATGAATGGCGATAAGGGACCCATCCCGTTTAGCCCGCTTTTCAATTTTCTGTTAGGAAGAGAATAATTACTTATAATTAACGAGAAATTCCATATTGGACTTCAGGTATACAACCTCAGGTAACAAATTTTAGTATATAAAGATTAACCAGACTAGACTAGGTATCAATTTCCTTCTCCTGAGGATGCTAACTTTGTTGGTGAAACGCGCGTCGAGTGCAAAAATATCAGTTTGGTGTTAGGGCAATTGATCTCGAAAAAAGTTATTCAACTCTCACACCAAAGGTTCCAATCTCATCGTTATTTGTCAGGAGCTTCTAAAAAATGTGTCACAAGACCCCTCTTTCCTTTTAATTTCCCCAGATGGCGCCTAGTCGCCATCTTGAAAGTTCCATCTGTCAATTTTACTTCAAAATAATGTATTCATGCATTAATTTCATTATCCCAAATTTCAATTTTTTGAGTTGACCCGTTCAAGAAATAAAAGAGGAGGACATGCACTGTATAATGATATTTCACAGTACCGGGGTGTGTCAAGTCCTCAAAAAAGTTCGGCGAGGTAATAAAATAATATGACTGTACCAAAACAAAGTGCCTCTACCCGGATACATTCTAAATACTTACGTCACTGTTTTATTGTGCACTTGACTATTTCTTACAGGGGCGCAGGGTATTCAAGCTCAATGTTCACTGTTTGATCCATCTTTGAAGTCGATGATTACCGGAAATCTTTTCATGGAAGAGAAGAATAAACCACTAGCCAGCTCTTCCATTAAAGACCTGTATACGAAATCTCTGTTCTCAATGGACAGAGCAGCAACTCTGAACGTAAGCAAATTTTACGTTATATGACAAAATGGTTAGGGCCGAGGTTTTCAGTATCACTATTTTTGTTCGGGATTGAAAGCCTCCGATTTATGGAATTTCTTTACGATTTACATCTTCATTAGGGCGATACCCAATTTAATCACAGTTTTTATTCAGATGTCAAAGAAGCTTGCGGAATCATAAAGTCTGATATTATTTTATTGAAGTAGCAACTTCAGATTCGCTTATCATTAACACAGGAAAATCTAAGGTTATCATTTCCGAGTTTAAAATCAATAGAAGTGGAATCATCAATTCAGCTGTAATTCGCTCCTTCAGGTAACATATTTCAAAAGTAAACAATGCTATTTTTCTCTTCGATTGATTCATGACTAACGATTGTTTGCTTACTTTTGTATTATAATATTTTTTCACTATATCGCTAGTCACTGACCTTTACTCATTTATTTATATACTTATGTATTGATAAAGTGGAAGAACAGTTTAGCAGTTCTTTGCATAACTTCGAATTTTTTTTTTGGTTGTAGTAATAAAGACGTTGTTTATCAATATTATAAGAGATGAGACCATGTCTGAGATATAATTTTCTTTTGATTTAATGAAAATACAATCCAGATAAGTTCTTTGTCTAGTAGGTTTGTTTGTGGTAGATATATCACTTCTGTTTGAAGGTGATTGACAATGTTTCGTGATGAATTTCACTAGTTCGGACTTCCATTGTCTATTATATAAAATGATTTGAAATCCCTGAAACAAGTAAAAAAGAATAATTAAAAAAGGCAAGTCAGTGATAACAATTATATTAAGCAACAATAAACCTGAAATGAAATGANATTTCAGGCTTATGGAACTCTTAAGATTATTTATGGAAATATAAATTTCTTACAAAAGCAACAAAAATAATGTCATGTGATAGTTTAGTTTTGTCTACCCTGAATTTTGCTGATTCAGTGTACGGTCCATGCTTAATGAAAGCATATGAGCAAAAAATCCAAAAGATTCAGAATTCATGTTCACGTCTTATTCATGGAGTTCGAGGCGGGAAAGTATTTCCAATAAATTGGTTGAAACCGGTTGGTTAAATATGGCGAAGCGTAGACGGTTGCATGCAGCGTGCTTATTTCACAAAATAATCATAACGAAGATTCCGATTTACTTATATGAAAAAATTTAATATAATGGACTGCTGAATGGAAGGCAGCTGTAAATCTCTGCGGATGACTTCATTCCGTACGAACCACGGACCATTCACAATCATCCGTAGTATTTTATTTTGTAAGGTCTCCAAGATGGAGATGTTGGACGGAACCGCTTGTCCCCAGACGCCTGAAGCATACATGATGACAGGCTTGAACATCTTGTTGTAGATCGTAACTTTGTTTTTTAGGCTTAACTTGTATCGTCTGTTTATCAGAGAGTGCAGGCTTGCCATCCGACACTCGATCTTTGCCTTCACGCTTGAAAAGTGCGGGTTCCAGGTGAGTCTACGATCTATTAGAAGATCGAGGTACTTTACCCGTGATTGCCAATGAATCTCTGTTCCAGAGATTCTCACTTCCATAGCCGGAGAAGATATCTTTCTTCTCATGGTTATCGCCTGAGTTTTTTCCGGGTTCACTCGGATCTTCCACTCCAGGTACCAGCGCTCGAGGTCGTCCAGTGCACGTTGCATGTAGACGATTTCGAGCTCCCGACCCATCTAAGATGAGAGGAGAGCCGTGTCGTGGGCGTAGAAATGAACACTTCAGAAAGTTAGTCAAACTTATATAGGCCAGAAGACGACAAAATCTCTCAAGATATGTGCTACGGTGCTAGTTCAGTCATGTTTTTTTTCTTAGATTTAAAATAGAGGGAACAAAAGCTCATACTTGGAGAAATTTGTGATGAGGGGTTCTGGTTCACAACTGTTCCTGCAACCTTCCATCATCCAAGAAAGTTCGAGTTGCTTGTTTGAGGTTTGCGAAAGAAGAAATTTACCTCTCAGTTGCATAATGAATGATTAGTATGATTTTTCACAAATGCAAGAGAAACAGAAAGGCATATTTCGTTCCTGAAAAATACGTTATAAACATCAACATTCCGAATGGTTCAATATTATTTTATATTTTTCAAGGTGCCGAAGGAGTCGCTCATCAAGAAGAAATTGAATATCTATTTCGATGTCCAAACAACAGAGATCTGAGTAAATTTCCTGAAGAAGATAGGATCACACATGATCGACTTGTTACCATGTGGTCACAGTTTGTCAAGTATCTGTAAGTATGAGAGTTTTCGTATAATTTCCGATGACAAATGACTGACATTCTGTTTAAGTGTTACTATCTACATGGTAGTAGTAGTCATTTATTCACTTTATCTTCTTACTACACTGTTCTGTTTTTTTCTTTCCTACGTGAATGAATATTATTATTATTATCTCATTTACTCGTAGTAACAGTATCCTTGCTTCTTGCTAGGATAATTAGTAGCAGTGAATCCTTCAGAACAAATGAAGTAATGCATTGGATATGTTGAATTTGTCATCTTTCCAGTAAAAAAATTGTTCAGAATGTCTCTATTATTTCAGTAATTAATTCACTTTCAAATATCTCACAATAATTTTCTGTTCACAATATTTTCTAACAGATTGAACTCTTTGAAAATTACTTGTTCCAATAAAGTTATTGTTTTGTACAAAGATGTGATGTCATGAGAAATACTTTTTTTCAGGAATCCAACGAAAGGGAAAAATGAACTACTTCAAAATATTGTGTGGCCAAAAGTAACACCACAAGAGTTCTTTTACTTAAATATCAACACTACGCTGGCAGTTGAGAAGAATATCAAGAACTATGAAAAATATAAGGAAATTTATTCAATATATGCCAACGAAGAATTGTCTACGTACTGAATAAAATAATATACTACATACCTTTTTAGTTCGTGTTTTATTAATTTATCTTTGTGGTAATATCACCTGATAATGATTTATTAGTATTCATCTAAAGGAAATATTTGGTTGGAAATAATTGGTTCTCTGGGAAGCACGATCAAGACATGTGAAATTTCATCTGATAAACTGTATGGTTGTAATATATCAGTTCTGAAATAATGGACACAAAATGCGTTTTCAGTAATGATAAGTATATTTACTGAAAAAGAATCTCTTAGATATAGCAGTTTCTGTTAATTTTTTTGCATATTTGAACAAAAGACACCGTGACAAATATCTATTTCTATAAAATATATTCAATTATCTAATTTACTTGGGATTTTCTGAACATCTTTCAGTTATGACAAATCCCATCAGATACAGGCCGTTTTCTTGGTTGAACCCACTTGCTATCTCGGAAATGGTAAGTTCTACGAAGTTGGCTAAATCTGACAATTTTCCTATTTTAGGATATCTTTTCAGATGAAGGATATCAGTAGTTGTTTTTGAAATATTCGCCAAAAACTAGAATTGTTGAATCTCGTTATTTTTGCTCTACCACCTCCATTTTGAAAAAAGCAGAAAATCTTTCTATACTGTTTCATATTTGTTGAAGTTTAATATGACCCAATTTGAAATGCGATGTTTTGTTCATTGAATCTTATCATCAACTTTATTTTTTTTATTGACCTCTATCTGAACTGTGAATCGAACCACCATCAATCGACTAAGAGAGAAATCATTAAGACTCTAGTAGACCGTGCTTTCGGGCTCTGTAATACAAAGGAAGGTCTCGAAAAGGAATTAGGCATCATCAAAAATGACCTTCAA